CGAGCACATGGACACACGTGCACACAGACGCACAGAAAGGCACACATGCACAGACACATGCACCAGAGCAGGACGATGCCACTTGCACTTCGGTGGAAAGTTCTGGGAGCAGAATGGAGAAGGAACGAGGGACAGGGAACGCAGGGATGCTTCGGGGGTTTCAGTCAGGGGACTCTTCCCCTGGAACGAGGGAAGGGACGGCAGCACCAGAGGGAGGAGGTGGCTGTGGGATGTGCGGGGTGGGGGCAAGCTGCCCGGGCTGTGTGGGTAGCAGATGAAAGGGCACAGAGGGTCAGTGGGGTCTCCCAGGGTCTCACCAGGAGCACTGATGGGACCACGGAAGCAGGAGTCAGGGTACACTTGAGGGGGAGATCAATCCAGCCTGTGAGGGGTGAGGGAGCCGCAGTGGGCAGCTCGGAGGGGCATTGGAGCAGGCTGGATGCTTTGCCTGGAGTCCAGGAGGTCCGGGGGGAACATCGGCCCCGAGGTGAGAGTGAGGGGGGCCAGGGCCGGTCCGGGGCTCCCAGGGCGGGCGCTGTGAGAGGCTGGGAGGGCACACAGGAGGCCACCCTCTCATCTCCCAGGCTCCTAACTCAGAGATGTGCCACTTCCCGCTCCGGTAACACTTCCAGACAGGGCTCTCGGAAGGAGCCAAACCCAAGGGCTAATTATACATAATGAAGAGCATCCATTCACAGGATCCAAACAAAACGATTTAATCACCACCTAAACTGCAAAGCCCAGGGGCCTTTGTGAAGGTGACGGAGGGCAGGACCCTGTCTCCAGGTCGGCCCAGAGCCAGGGATGCACAGGCAGCCAGAGGGCCAGGAGCAGAAGGGGGGTCCCCGGGCATGCCGCTGGCCCTGCTGGCCGCAGGGCTGAGCCTGCTCCTCATGCTGTGCGGACTCCTGCCCACCCAGAAGAGGCGAGAGCCCGGTGGGGTGGAGCACGTGTGTGTCCCATGCTCCCAGCTCCCAGTGGTCTGTGATCACCCAGTGGCCTGTGACCAGAGTCCCCGCTCTTGTGTCTCGGGCGACTGCCGGGCAGAGGAGGAATGCGAGTGTGGGCTCACTCCCTGTGGCAGGGTGGGGCATCCTCCTGCCCTCAGGGATGGGGGACTCTACCCCGTGTTCACCTCCTGCTGAGAGCTACGTACCCCCTCCCCCAGCCTTTAGGAAACTGGTACATAAAGTGCAGGGCAGGGAACATGCCAATCCCCAAGGAGAGGAGCCGCCAGCTGCACCCCTTCGTGTCGGTGATCTGCCGTCTGGGCAAGCTGGGATTCTGGATGGGCCTCCAGGGCGCCTCAGTGCGGGCTTCCCCGCCCCCCACCCCGGTTCCCGTGGGGACGCCCCGGTCAGTGGCTCTGCTTCAAGGCTCCCAAAGGCTCCCAGTGGCCTCACTCCCGCCCCCTCAGGGCTGGTGCTCCTGGGAAGGCCAATGGCTTGTCATTTCCATGCAGGAACAGAGAAGGATTTTGCTCACAGCTGTGGGGTCAGTGGGTGAGCCAGGTGGGAGCCAAGCAGATGGAGGTTTGAGAGGTTGATCGATTCAGGAGACCCATTTGAAGAACACGAAGATTGGAGACCCCCCCTCGCCAGGGCCTGTCCCAGGGCCTTGAAAGCACCAGGAAGAGAAGTGCATGAAGCTCATCAGCGGGAAATGGCCCCAGGTCCTCCTGCCCGGCCCCTCTTCCGGCTGGTACCACAGGGCGCACAGGAAGGGGGCTTGTGGGGTCCATTGGAGGCCGGGTCCTGGGAGCCTTGTCTGGCCAGCAATGGGGAGGATGGGCCAGGAGTTCAGAGGTGTTCTAGGGGCTGGCAGAGACCCCAGGCTGGGCTGTGTGGGGTCCTGTTCAGGACATTAGATCCTGACCAGCCCCCTCCACCTGTCAACTTTACCTGCCTGACCCCTCCATCCCATGCAAACTTGTGGTGGCCCCCTGGCTCCAGGCCTGGGCTCTGGGACAGGCCTCCAGGGGCCGGGCAGGCAGAGTTGAAGGGCATGGATGGGAGCAGGGGAGGGAGGGGCCGTCCCGGAACGAGGGGGCACCCTGAGGGTGGAGTGGGGAAGGTCTGGGCTTGTGTTGGGGACATAGGCCCACTGCTCATACTCCAGGAAGCCTGTCGGATACGCACGGTACAAACTGCCCCCGGACGAAGGGCTTTCCCCGGCACCTTCAGCCCCGGTGAGTGGCCCGCGCACATTCTCTTTCTAAGCAGATGGCGGTGCGGTCCTGAGCCTCTTGTCACCTGCAGCTGAGGGACACGGTATCTTCATCAGCTTCCTGCCAGGGAAGCTGCACCCATCACATACTCCGGGAGCAGGATGGACAGAACGCACTCACAGATGGCGATGCTCATCGGAGCGTCTGGCTCTGTCAGAGTCTGCGGGGCCAGCCAAGAGCTGGAGGCTGGGCATAGCCTCTGGGGGTGTCAGCCTCCTGCCAGTCCCCAGCCCCGCTGCTCTGAGCCCTGCCTGGGGGGATTTTGTCCACCATCTGCAATTACCATTCCTGCTGCCCAGCGCCATGTCCACTCAGGGGCATGCCCAGCCCCCCACTTCGGAGACCCTCTGCTCTTTCCTCCTGCAGTCAGCCACTGGTGTGGCCGTGCCCTAGCCTAGGGACTCTGAACAGGGCCCCCAGGGGACACTGGGCAATGTCTGGAGACACTGTGGCTGTCATGATGAGGGAGGCAGATGTGGAGGCCAGGGATATCCCTCAGCGTCCTGCGGAGCACAGGATGGGCTTCACCACCAAATGTCCTCCTGCCCGGGTTGAGGACCCCTGCTGGAGAGCTTATCAAACCAGAAGCCCCATCAGAGCTGCATCTTGAATTTGAGACTATGACGCTCAGACAAACTTGCTTTTACATTTCTGCCAAAGCTGGGGCACCTGGGCAGCTCAGTCGGTGAAGCATCTGCCTTCGGCTCAGGTCATGAACCCGGGGTCCTGGGATCGAGCCCCTTGTCGTGCTCCCCACTCAGTGGGGAGTCTGCTTCTCCCTCTGCTCCTCCCCCACTCGTGCTCCCTCTCAAATAAATAAATAAAATCTTTTTAAAAAAACTCTCCCAAAGTTCCCCAGCGCTTCCACTCCAGAATGCACCGTGGACCACCTCCGTGGCCCCTGTCCTGTCAGCAGCCCCTGTCCACTGCCCACGTCCACCGACACCGCATGTACCCACCCTCAGCCCCGAGCCAGGCTCTGTGCCCACAAGTCCCAAGCTAGTTAGGGCCTGGGCTGGAGCAGGGAGATACAACAGAGAGACCCCCACTGGGTGCCCACGTGATGACCACAGACTCCTCCCACGAGTCCTCTCGTCACCTCCCTGCCCCCGGCTTTAGGCAGCATTTCACATGTTCCCTGCTGGCCTCCCTCTCAGGATGTCTGGCTGCGGGATGCCCTAGCCCTGGGCATGACCCTGAGGACAATCTGGAGACCCCTGCCCAAGAGAGGGTCCCCAATGTGGGCTGGCTGGCCTGCCTTGACTTCGAAGACCCACCTTTTCCATCTGGCCCGCACCCTGGATGAGAACCGGAGGCCCTGAGAACCTTCCAGGAGCTTGTGGGGAGCAAAGAGATAAAGCGGACAGATCTCCCTGGTAATGAGCACGGTGCTGCTCCCCTCTCCCGTCCTGGAACAAGGGGTCAACCCGGGAGCTCTCTGCCAGGCGTTCACCCGCAGGGCTGTCTGTCTGGACAGGTATCTGTTCCAGCGAGCACTCAGCAGAGACCCCCCAGGATGCCACCCACCAGCCACCAGCTCCCATCCTCCTGCAGCCAACGCCAGGCTCCTCGGGGCTACGCCATGGCTGTGGGGCGTGGAGACATTGGCCACTGCAAAGGTTTCCGAAGTTGACACCCAGCGAGACAGTGACACCTTGACCTTTCCCTGGAAAACATGAGGCTTCCCCGGGGCAGCCCCTCCCCCCCCCCAGGTCTCCAGAAGGACCAAATGAAGGATCCACTCCCAGGAGGCCCTAGAGGAGTCGGATCCACAGACACAGGGAGCAGGAGTGGGGTCCCGGGGGCTTGGAATAGGGCTTAGGGGACAGAGTCCAGTGTGGGAAGATGACCACGTTCTGGGGACGGACAGAGGGACGGTGCACAACAGTGTGAACGCACAGACGCCCCTGAGCTGTGAATTTAAAAGAGGGTAAGAGGGTAAATTTTATGTCATGTGTATTTTCCCACAATAAACAATTTTCAAAAAACATTTCACCCGAGCATGGTGGGTCCGTCCCTGCCTCAGCGGGTCTGAAAAGTGCTCCAGGAGATTTCAATGAACCCTCAAGTTTCCTAAATAATGGGGACCATCAGGATTCCTCCCTTTCGGTTCACAGAGAAGGTGAAGGGGATCACATCTGCATTTGCATCTTCCATCCAGTAGCTGAGTAGGTGGCGGCAGCGGGGAAGGGAGACCAGTCCTAGTCGTTTTGCCCACTGGACGAAACTCCGTGTGGTCCGCAAGTACAGAGATGCTGCTGGGAACACAAAGAGAAGGTGATTTAAGAGGTCATTCCTGGGTGAAGGTGAAGTTGTCAAGGTCGTCTGGACACACTTTGGTGACCCAGGTTTCCCAATGGGGGTGCTGCCTGGGCCCCTGCTGCCAAATGGCACAGAGCTGGGGAACACAGAGGAGGCGGGGCTGTGGGGAGATGAGCAGGTTCAGCTTCCTCAGAGGAAGTGTTCCTGACGCCGGCGGCCAGCCCGCACCCACTGGGCCCCGGAGCCTCCCCTCTGGGGCCTGCCAGGAACTGTCCAGGCCCCGGGGACACAGGGACCTTCCTGTTCCCACTTAGAGGAAGAAGGCCTCCTATTGTCCCGGTGGAGGAAGCCCCCTGAGGGTCTGGGGCTGAGCCACGGGGGATTCGGGGAACTGCGTGGCCGGGGGCCCAGACGGTGCTGGCTTGCGGGGCCCCCGCCCCCATAAAAGGGCCCGAGCCCGCTGCCCGGCCTTCCTCACTCCCGGGAGCTCAGCGCAACCACAGCCGCAGCCATGAAGTGCCTCCTGCTCGCCCTGGGCCTGGCCCTCGTGTGTGGCATCCAGGCCATCGTCATCCCCCAGACCATGGAGAACCTGGACCTCCAGAAGGTGGGAGGACGGCTGGGGTGGGGGTGAGCTGCAGGGTGGGCAGGGCAGTGGGGCCTCAGCAGGGAACACGGGCACGAGCAGAACCCACGACGTCGGGAAACCCCCACCAGGCTCTCCGTCTTCAGGGCGGCTTGTCTCTTGGTTTCCCAAGACCCAGAAGGTTCTAGGGAACTCGTATGATGTGTATTCAGACCCACCTGGGGAACACAGGCATGTTAATTCAAGTGTGGAAATCGTGCAGCCCAGTGTCTGGTCGATGGCCGAGGGTCGTCCAGAGCTCACTGACGGCCACCCCAGTTAGACTGGGCCGCCGGCCGGGGTGTGAGGGCGAGCTCCCCGTGGGGCTGGGGCTCCTTCCCGCCCCCGATGGCAGCTCAAGGCCCCCTCCGCAGGTGGCTGGGACGTGGCACTCCGTGGCCACGGCGGCCAGCGACATCTCCCTCCTGGACGCCAAGACCGCCCCCCTGAGGGTGTACGTCCAGGAGCTGAGACCCACCCCCGAGGACAACCTGGAGATCATTCTGCACAAATGGTGGGTGTGCCCCCCACCCTGGGGTTGGGGGCCGGGGAGGGCCTGGCTCCTGGACGGGCAGGTGGGCGGGCAGGGCAGGGTCCTGATGGGAGCCGGCGCCCTGTGGGTGGTTCCCGGTGCCCTCGGAGCCCCCGCCCTGGGCTCTGGGCCAACAGGCCGACCACACAGGGCGGCCCCGGGTCAGTGTGCAGAGAGGCCTGTGTGGAGGCCGGCTGGTCAGCTGTGGGGCTGCGGCCCTGGGGGCCTGGGCAGGTCCTGCCGCGAGCCCTGTCTGCTATGAGGGACCATAGCAAGGACAGCTCAAGTTCAGTGTTGCCCCCCAATGCTATCACCACCTTTCAGGGAAGGCAACAAGTGTGTTGAGAAGAAGGTCTTTGCAGAGAAAACTGAGCATGCAGCCAAGTTCAACATCAACTGTGAGTGTCCCCAGCCCCATGGGCTGGCTCTGAGCTGCACACCCCACAGCTGTCCCTGGGAGGCTGCTGTCCTTGCCGGTGGGAGCGTGAGGTGGGAGAGGGCTCGGGGCTGCCTGGCTCTGACTCAGGGAGCGCTCTGCCCAAGCCCTGGGCCAATGAGCCTCTCGTGTGTGTGTGTGTGTGTGTGTGTGTGTGTGTGTGTGTGGTCAACAAGAGCTTCCTCCCCCACGATTGTTCTCGGAGTCTCTTCGGGCCCACACGGAGCAGGGCCACCTCCTGCTCTCTCTGGATGGCTGCGACTCACACCTCGTGCTGAGCTCCTGGACTCTGCTGCATGAGGGGGACGCAGAGCACCTTCTTCTACTGCATTCTCTGTCACAAATTGCAACGTTCGGCGGGGGGGGGGGGGGGGGGGTGTGAATTATAAAAAACACAAACGGAGAACTTAGTGGTAAAATTGAAACAAAGGATGCATAGAAATTTCTTCTGGGTGTTTCCTCAGCAAATTCTATTTGTTTCTCACACTTAAGACTTGCTCTGGGGGGCACCTGGGTGGCTCAGTCGTTAAGCGTCTGCCTTCGGCTCAGGTCATGATCCCAGGGTCCTGGGATTGAGCCCCGCATCGGGCTCCCTGCTCAGCGGGAAGCCTGCTTCTCCCTCTCCCTCTCCCCCTGCTTGTGCTCCTGCTGTCACTGCATCTCTCTCTGTCAAATAGATAAATAAAATCTTAAAAAAAAAGAAGACTTGCTCTGGGCCACCCTGACCCTCCTTCTCCTCTTCAGAACCCGTCACGCTCCAGGGCCTGGATCTTCTGCCCCTTTGCTCCCCAGGCCTCTCCTTCCTGTGCTCATCATGCCTCCCCTTCACCTCCCCCTTACCTCCAACTCCTCCCTGCCACACAGGAATGCTTAGCTGCAGCTCTCCTGCTCCAAGCCTCACCTCCTCCCCTCTGCTGTCTCCCCCCCACCACCACCACCTGACAGCTACACACCTGGCCGGCCACACACCAGACCTCTCACCTTCAGCGGGTCTTTGTGCTCCACCACCCTGCCTCTCCCCTCCCTTTCCTCTCCTGCTGCCTCTGGCCATTCCTGCACCTGGTGCCGCCCCGTGAGGGCTGCAGGACAGGGGTCCAGGTGACTGTAGGAACGGCCCCCCAGCACCCGTGAGGGACGCTCCTGCTGGACAGGACTCCATCCTCACTTTGGTCCTTCTCTTCTCTCCCCAGATCTGGGGGAGAACACGGTCTTCGTGCTCGACACGGACTACAAGAACTACCTGTTCTTCTGCGTGGAGAACACGGACGCGCCCGAGCAGAGACTGACGTGCCAGCACCTGGGTGTGCACTGACGATGCGCGGGGTCACCCTGAGTGGGACGGCGGCTAAGGACCCCTGGCCGGCACCGTGGGCACCCAGGGAGCAGACTGTGCAACATCCTAGTGGCCTGAGGGCCCGGGGGTGGCCCGTCTGTCTCTAGGGGTGGCTAAGTCCGCTCACATTGCCTCAGAAATCGGGGAGAGAGGGGCCAGGATGGCTGCTGGGTCAAGGGGCTGGATTTAGTGTCACCGGCTTGGTCAAAAGATGAATACTAATTAGAAGCTTTAGTTGGTGGTAATGTTCTTATTGAAATGCAAGCCCGTGAAACCCGTAGCACAAGGCGGAGACATTCCTGGTTTGCCCGAATGAAGCCCTTTCTGGGGGGTTATATACACACATCCTCGGTCAGCACATCAGCTATGCTGGGTGAGACCCGACAGCCTAGGGTGCTGGGCCCTCTCCTCCTGTCCACACACCGTCCCGGGAGGAAGGGGAGGGGACAGGGACCCTGGAGCCCAGGGACTGACCCACCGCCCCCCACAGCCAAGACCCTGAAGGTCGACAACCAGGTCATGGAGAAATTCAACAGAGCCCTCGAGACTCTGCCCGTGCACATGCGGATCATCCTGGACCTGACCCAGGGCAAGGGTGAGCTCTAGCCCGCAGCAGCGACCCCCGCCCCCCACGTGCTGTCCCAGCTCTGGCTCCCGTCTTGGTTCTAGAGACATCAGGGCAGCATCTTCCTTCACTGGTGGCCCCCATTCCCCAGACCCCCCAGCTTGGGGGGTGGGAGGTGCAGAGCCCCTGAGGCAGGGTCTCCAGCCCCATCCCTCTGCCACACCCCTCTGGGCCCAGGGCTGTCCTGGCGACTTGTGACCCCCCCCATGGCTCTCCCTCCCCCCAACAGAGCAGTGCCGCGTCTAGGTGAGCTCCTGCCTGACCCGCCTCCTGGGGTAACGTACCAGCCCTGCCCCCACGTCCTGGGCACATGCATGGTGGGAGGCATCCCAGGGGACCCCAGCTCCCCTGGTCCCTCTTCAGGAATGGCTGGGACCTCCTGGTGTCCCTCCTGGTGACCACCGGGGCCAGGCTGGCAATGCCAGTCAAGTGCTTGGCTCTGTCCTAGAACCACTTAGGTCCAAGCATGTGCCCTCCTGTGGGACCCCGTGCTTTCTTTTGGGGTTCAGGTTGTTGTTTTAAGGAGGTGGAGGGGAAACAGGATGGGGAGGGGGTTGGGTGATGGTTGGGTGGCAGAGAAAGCCGAGAATGTGTAGGCCAGGGGCCGCATTATTAAGGGGAGATGTCCTCGCCACCCCCACCCCTGTCCCCTCTCCCCCAACAGCGTGCTCTCTGCCTTTGTCTGTTTTAGTGACCTGCAAAACCCCATTGCTTGCCTCCCCCACAGGAGAAACCAGACCCTGCCCGCCCACCCCAGAAGGCAGAAGTTTCCTTGTCCTTTCGAAGAAGAAGCCTGCCACCCTGTCTTGTCCTCTTCCTCCTTCCTGGGTCTGTGTGCTCAGGCTGGGAGCCTACTCTCTGAGGACCCTAAATAAAGTTGCATGACCTTCCCTCTGTGAAGTGTGTTGTTGGGGGGGCCTGTGGGTTATGGTGCCTTGGGCTCTGCTGGCGTTTTCGGGGGGTTCCGGAGGGGACCAGCTCCTGGGGGTAAATTTCCTCTGGTTTCTCATCCACAGAACAGGAGAATCCACTTGCACAAAATTTGTAAACTATCTAGAAACTATCAGAATCAATGAGCTAGGAGGAAAACTCATAGCCCTTAGTCCTTAAATTAGTTAGCTAAAGGAAACTAAAATAAATGACTCTATGGGGTGCCTGGGTGGCTCAGTTGGTTAAGCGACTGCCTTCGGCTCAGGTCATGATCCTGGAGTCCCGGGATCGAGTCCCGCATCGGGCTCCCTGCTCGGCAGGGAGTCTGCTTCTCCCTCGGACCCTCCCCCCTCTCATGTGCTCTCTCTCTCTCTCTCTCTCATTCTCTCTCAGATAAATAAATAAAATCTTTAAAAAAATAAAAAAGTAAAAAATAAAATAAATGAATCTACCATCAATTCAGGTTAGAAAAGAAGCATTAAAATAAGGAAAATAAGGTTCCTGTGCCCCCAAGGTGAGGGCAGGGATGGGTTTAGCTCCCCTGTGAGAAAGAGCTGGGAAAAAAATACAAATATGAAATTTCCAGAACTATCAATGACCACAGATAGAGAGAAATTTAATTAAAACTTCATAAGGGATTCAACTGTTTGGCTCTAACCTGATAGACTTAAAAGGCCCCAAATAGAAGATTTTCATAGCAAATGTAAGCATCCCAACAAACCCAAGAAGACCAGAGAAAAAGTAGACAGGTCCCTTATCAAGGCAGACAGACACACAGGTGCAGAGCCGCCCCCCGCCTGCCCCCAGCCCCGCCACAGCATCAGGAGGGGGCAGACAGGTCCTTTAGGAACAGGTGGTCAGGAATAAGCAGCTCCAGGCCTGGGGGGCAGGCAACCCCTCCGCATCCCCTTACACCTGACAGACCTCACGGTGGAAGGAGGCCATAATGAGAACAGTGTTCCCCGCGCTTTCCATACAGGCGGTCCCTTCATCCCCGTGACCATGCAGGGGGCACGCACAGGTACCCCTACTGTTCTCAGGGAGGTACAACGCGCTCCACCTGCCCGATGGGGGGGCATGGGGTGCAGGCAGTGGCCCAGCGTCGATGCACACACCCACCCACCTCCCGCCTTTCCCGCCAGGACACCCACCTGGGGGCAAAAGCCCCTGAATGGCATAGTCGCCCCTGGATTCCAACAGGAGAGCATCTGTGTGAATCTCAAACTAATTTCAAATGAACTATGTTCAGAGAATAAAAGAGGAAGAATGATTTCTCTGTAGATGGTGACGTCGGCTAAAACTCCTTCCTGTAAATTCTCTAAATGGATGTGGGGCAGTTTCCAGGATGTGCTGTCATGGGCTAACTTTCGGGTCAGAAAGAATGGAAGTAAGCCTATGCTCAGGAACGTGGAAGAAGATAGGCAGAAAGGATGAGCAGACATCAGTGAGTTAGTTGTCTACAGGGAGGAAGGTGGGTGCGCAGGCGGAGAAATTCGCGGGCACAAATTTTCATGCAATTTTAAGTTTTGGACGAGTTCACATCTTATATATTTTAGATGTAAACTAAACTAAAAACCGAGGGACGCCTGGGTGGCTCAGTCGGTTAAGCATCTGTCTTCTGCTCAGGTTACGATCTCGGGGTCCTGGGATGGAGTCCTGCGTCGAGCTCCCTGCTCAGCGGGGAGCCTGCTTCTCCCTCTCCCACTCCCCCTGCTGTGCTTTCTCTCTCGTGCTGTCTCTCTCAAATAAATAAATAAATAAATAAAATCTTTAAAAATAAAATAAAAACTAAAAGGCAGCAAGCCATAAAATGATAAACACACAGAAACAAATGAACCTAACTTCTGTAAAACTGACCATTTCAGAGAAAAAAAAATGTTGACTTTTTAATTTTTTTCCAGTGACATGCTTTAGTGGCCCATGGCAAACGATCCATCATGAAGCGTGGTCAGTTCCAATATGAGGGGACGTAGACAGGGGTGGAATGAGCAGCCTCATCGAGAAATCTTGGTCAGATGCCGGGCACTCTCTGGTCACACCCTGTTCACTGTGCTGCCTACGCCCACCCTGGGGTCTTGCCCCTGTGACAGTGCCCCACCTACTCACACTTTGATCTTTTGTGGACCATATTCTAGAGAAAAAGAAATCTTAACATCAACCTAGCAGTAGCATTCGTGTTGGTGACGATATTGGTGTTCTTATCAGAGTCCAAATTGAAACAGATGGAACTTGAGAAGGGGCTTTGAAGGAGGACTCGTTTAGAAGGATCTGTCCCCGGGGCGCCTGGGTGGCTCAGATGGTTAAGCGTCTGCCTTCGGCTCAGGTCATGATCCCGGGGTCCTGGGATGGGATCAAGCCCCACATCAGGCTCCTGGCTCAGCGGGGAGCCTGCTTCTCCCTCTCTGTCTGCCTCTCCCCCTGCTCATGCTCTCTCTTTCTGTCTGTATCTCTGTGTCTCAAATGAATAAATAAAATCTTTAAAAAAAAAAAAAAAAAAAAGAAGGATCTGTCCCCAGGGAAGGAGGGAGGGGGCTGGGGCTAGGGGAGCCAACCTCTGACTACTCACAGTCAATAGAAGGGACAGAGAAGGATTCACGTTGTCGTTGGAATAAACCAAAAGATCAGTGGAGCAAAATAGAGTGGCAAGAAATTTGTGTAGAAATTTAGTGGATGAAGGGGATAACATTTCAATTCAAAGAAGTAAGTCTTATTTAATAAATAGCACATAGCCCGCTGAAATCAGTGTAGTGTGCGTCTCACAACATGAATTGGGAGTCACCCCTCAGCTTGCAATTTCTGCAAGATTCATGTTACTGCTTTCTTAAATGTCAGATAGAATTTAATAGTGAGGCTAACTGGGGTTTGAGATTTTGGCAGGGGAGGGGAGATTTTCATCCACAAATTCAATTTCTGCAATAGATCTATGTCGATTCTGGCTATCCACCGCTTCTATAATAAGCTTTGATACTTTGTATCTTTCTAGGACTTTATGCATTTTGTCCGAGTTATGAGAATTATTTCCATCTAAAATGTTCCCTTAATATCCTCTTTGAGAGAGAGAGGGAGAGAGAGAGCACATGAGTGGGGAGGGGGCAGGGGGAGAAGGAGAGCGAGAATCTCAAGCAGGGGCTCAACCTCACGACCCTGAAATCATGACCTGAGCCGAAACCAAGGATTGGACACTTAACGGACTGAGCCCACCCAGGCACCACTTTTAATATCCTTCTAGTTTCCATAAGATCTGTACTGATGTCACATTCTTCATCCCTAGTAGTGATATATGTCAACTACCTGGGTTTTCCTGATTAGTCTGGCTAGAGGTTTATCCATTTTCCTGACCTTTTCAAAGATCAAAAGTTTTTTTTAAAAAGATTTTATTTATTTATTTGACAGACAGCGAGAGAGAGCACACAAGCAGGGGGAGCAGCAGACAGAGAGAAGCAGGTTCCCCGCTGAGCAGAGAGCCCGATGCGGGGCTCAATCCCAGGACCCCGGGGATCTTGACCTGAGCCAGAGGCAGATGGTTAACCAACCGAGCCACCCAGGCACCCCTCTTTTTTTCAAGATTGTATTTATTTATTAAAGAGAGAGAGTGAGAGAGAGAGCATGAGCGGGAAGCCTGATGTGGGGCTCAATCCTAGGACCCTGGGATCATGACCTGAGCTGAAGGCAGACGCTTAATGACTGAGCCACCGAGGTGCCCTGCCTGACTTATTTCACTTAACATAATACAGTATTACGTTGTCGCAAATGGCAAGATCTCATTCTTTTTTATGGCCAAGTAATATTCCATTATATATATGTCACACCTTCTTTATCCATTCATCTATTGATGGACACTTGGGCTGCTTCCATGTCTTGTCTATTGTAAACAATGCTGCAACAAACATAGGGATGTATATATCTTTTTGAATTACTGTTTTCATTTTCTTTGGGTAAATACCCAGTAATGGAAAATACAATCTTTCTATTTTTAATTTTTTTAAGAACCTCCGTACTATTTTCCACAGTGGCTGTACCAGTTTGCATGCATGAGGGTTCCTTTCTCTCT